CTGAAAAATATGACCATTGAATCACTACACATACAAAAGATATGATTAGAATCCGTCTAAGTCCAAGCTACAATTCAGTTAGGATTGTTTTCAAAGTATTTTTAATGTTAAAATACTTCTCGAATTGCTTACCTACCTTCATTTCTATCGAAACAATAGTAAAAGAAAATACAACAGTATTTATGAGTTTATATGATGACAAACCTCATAAAACCCACGAAAATTGTTTTTTAAAGTTTGCGTTCCAACGCGTTTATTTTTATGTTCATATGTTTTCGCTAGAAGTGAAACGCAAGTTTTAAAACGCATTCAAACGCATCATTTTATCGGCAAAAATGCCTACATATCAACCAAAACGAGTTTCTAAAGACACATTCAAACGTTTCTTTTTTTGAATAAAACATTAGCAACCAGCTTCCAGACACGCCCACTACGATACGTTTTATCCATATAAAACAATACTCCTTTCTATGTTAACGCGTTTAAACGGGGTAGTTTTCTTTCCGTCCTCTCAGCATCAGTTGTTTTACATATTTTACCCTAAATATGTATTTCATTCATTCGCATCACTCTGCTTAACATTTCTCAAAAACTTCGTTCTCCAGTTTTATGCAATTTTTCTAAAGAAGTATCGCCGTTACGGTGGAAGAAGTCTAAATACTTAATATACTCTAATACCTTCTTCTGTCGAAAAAAATGCTAACCACAAACCACAAGTAAGAAATTAATCCTGCATTATCAACACTTACAACAGCCTTACGCAAGATTTCATTATAAAACTAAATAGAAAAAAATATTAGATTATGTTAAGTATTTCAACTTCTTGCACCATAGTGGCGACACTTCTTTAACAAAAATTTCATAAATCTGGAAAATGAAGTTAGGAAGAAATGTCAAGCAGAGTGATGCGAATGAATGAGATACAATTTAGGGTAAAATATGTAAAACAACTGAAACTGGGAGGAAGGAAGCAAAAGGATAATTTTTAGTAACTTCTCAAGGACTAGGTAAAAGCAGGCTACACCTATATCTGTAACACTATTACGAAAAAGCGGAAGGATATACTCAAAGTGAAACGAACGAAAGAACGCGTGGATAAGAATATGAACAAAACAGACAAAGAGGCAAGGTGATAAAAGTTAGAGAAAAACAGGCAAAGAGGTGAAGGGACAATGATTGCGGTAAAACAGAGGGAAGAATGATTGGATAATAGCGAGAATAAAACAGACGATATGGTGAAGGAATAATAATCCGAGTAAAATAAAAGGAAGGGTGATTTGACAGTCGAAAGAATTAACGTAAAAGGGCGAAGGGATAAAAGTCAAGATAAAACAAATGAAAAGATACGGGAATATTAGTCAGAGTATAAGAGAAGAAGAATATATCAGGATTAGGACATCAAGAGGTTTTGGTAAGAAAAGAAAGGATTACGGAAAAAATTATTCTGCGCAAATTCAATTCGATCTCAAAGAACAAATACCTTTGCATATAAATGTGGTGCGGATTTGGATGTTCTTGCACTTCTCTCCTCTTCCTTTCCCCTATATATATGCCTGCATTGACGCCCAGATTTACACAATGAACTCAATCGAGTTTAATACATAATATCCAGTTGATTTGAATTTCTTGCCTATATCTATAACGATCTGTGGAAAGTTCAAATTTCTGCCTCTCTACTTCGAAAATAGTTTTGGATCGTGTTTCACAAAAGAGAGACGAAAAAAGACATTTGATCAGAGATGAAACTACCTATCTAACTATTGTCTGTCCAATAATAAGATGGCCGTGGGTATTTTTGTAATAACTTTCGATAGGAACAAGATAGAGACCTGAGGTTTTCACCGTTCGACAGAGGAAAGAGAGGGACATCGAGACATGCGATTTTCATTCGTCAATATATCGACCAATCAGATGAATTTCTTGATGGACATTATTAGAACAAGATTTTAAAGGTTAACTTCTGATATGATTTTGACTTGTAATACCACCATTCGATAGCAAAAATTGTTCTCTGTCGATCTACGCAAGGCCGACCTTGCTACCTTGTTCCATTCAGGAGATATAAGGGTTTTCCCGAAACCCCTGTTTTTGGCCACCTGTCCTCTGATCGCTAGAAAATATATCTAGGGAGGGGTAATCGGTCATGCTGAGTGCAGTGGTGATATTTGTTTTTCGTTTCAAAGCGATCCGACACTTCTATAGCGAGTTTTTTGACATCTGATATTTTCTCACTATAGGACCGAGATAGTCAATATTCTGAAAACTCATTATAGAAGTGTCGGATCGGTTTGAAACGAAAAACAAATATCACCACTGCACTCAGCATGACAGATTACCCCTCCCTAGATATATTTTCCAGCGATCAGAGGACAGATGGCCAAAAACAGGGGTTTCGGGAAAACCCTTATATCTCCTGAACGGAACAAGGTAGCAAGGTCGGCCTTGCTTAGATCGGCAGAGAACAATTTTTGCTATCGAATGGTGGTATTACAAGTCAAAATCATATCAGAAGTTAACCTTTAAAATCTTGTTCTAATAATGTCCATCAAGAAATTCATNATGGTAAGTATATTGTTTTCTTTTTCTATCTTTGAACAAGTAAAATTTTCTTGTTGAGGTCAATAGTGATACTTTGCAAAGGTTCCCACTAACCTTGTCCGTATGGATTTGAAATGTGAACATGCCTCTATCCTTGGTAAAAAAATGAGCCCGTTTGGTCGAGTTGTAATGAAGATATTCAACTTTTTCTTTGTGGAGTTACTTACTGGACACCCTATATACAGGGTGACCCAAAAAATAATCGGACAATCTTTTATTGCAAATAACTTTTGGTAGAAACAAGATAGAGATCTACGCCTCTCACCGTTTCAAAGAGGCTGTCTCACTTCACCTTTCACTACTCAATACAGACAGTTTCACTCTGTAGTTTATTGTACTAATCAACAAGAGGTCAAGAATTCTTTGGTATCAAAGGCTAGTTGATGACTTTTGGATCACGCTTACGTAGTGAGACAGCCTCTGTTAAACAGTAGAAGATGCAGCTCTCTGTCTTGTTTCTATCAAGAACTACTTCCAATCAAAGACTGTTAGGTTACTTCTGGGTCATCCTGTATGTCAATGCAAAGTAAAACAAAGCATGCTCTTGTGGTAGAAAATAGGCGGAGTCTAAAAGAAATATTAAAAGCATAAGAAAAATGTAATAATGGCCAATCCAATCAGTCTTCACACTACAAGATAGCAATGAACATACATCATATACTTTTCAGTTTCCTACTATAAAAACAAACACGAAATCATTTGGATGTCTATTCCTCAGGTTTCGTCGAAAATTAATGCCTTCTAATTATTGTAAGATAGTAATATGATGAAAGTCGATGCTGCAAGTAGGGCAATGCTAATAAAACAGTACGAATTGATATCTGAAGGAAACTTACCTCCACATAAAAACAACTGCGACTAACACACTTATCACTTATCTTCATGCACAACACATTCAAGATGCTATACCTTTTGGGTTTCGATTTCATCTATATAGCAGTTGTGTCGCAAGTTTCTTTTTGAAAAGTATAGACGATCAAGAGGCAGGTAACTAGAAAATGATGCAACACAGTGTTGTTTGTGCAGAAAAACAAAAATGGCTAGTGAAGAGAAATACAGGCTTGAAACTGAGTCTACAGCAAATGAAATAAATTGTACGTTGACTAAAAAGAATGCCATATAGGTTCATATCACCTTCCGACTCAAAACCGTGTCAGTGTACAACTTTTGTATAGAACGTTGGAATCTACTACCTTCACTTGTAACGAGAGCATATACCTTCTCATTCTGTCCAGTGGAAGGATACAAGAAATAAATTTGGATAGAATACAACCAAGACTTTTCGATTGATTCTCAAGATACAAAATGAATATTAGTGTTGGGTTAGATTTGTTGCGACTCATACAAGACTTCGAAGTAAATTCAAGTTTTTCTTCAAATGATTCATCATTGCATAATTAGAAATTAAACACTATTTAATATGCATCTGACCACTACAATCATAGTGATACTCAAATAGTCACCAGTACCATGATTCTAAAAATTCTCAACGAAAAATCGAACATGAAGAACAAGACGAAGCTAGAAAACGCTTGAGGAAAATGTTAAAATTCTCAGATGATTTCTATCCATAGAGGAAAAAGATTTAAAAAAATGGCATTAATATGATGAAACGGACAAAAACATTGATGTATTTCAAATTCATTGATTAAAAATCATATTCACTGCAATTACTTAATGAAAATAACGTTTTTCATCAATGAATTTGAAAAACATCAATTTTTTGTCCGTTCCATCATCGAAAATGCAATTTCTTTTGTGCTTTTCCCACCAAATTCACGAAAGTCATGGATTGTTTTTTATGTTTTTACTCCATAAGTAGCAGGAGGAGATCGAAGAGGTTATTTCGAATCTTGAAAAAGTTTCGTCTTTCTCCAGGAACGTTTCAGTGTTCTACTGTGTTTTTTGCTCTCCCATTCCTCAAAACAACTCTTGATCTCCTATAATCCAGTCAACTTTAATGAAAATCTTTCGATCGATCTCCTAATTCGTCGACTTCTTTAATCCTGGCGAACGCGAGGTACCCCTGAAAATTCGTAAGATCTGACAATCCTGAATTTAATCTTTAATAGAAAGTCATGAATGAGTGCATTGTTAACTCAGATTTAATTTGATTGATTAATCGGAAAAAAATTGAATGCATTATTAATGATGACTATCAAATAGAAAATTATGAATTTTATAAATAAGTTTTCTATAAAAGCCGCTGCTTCGAACAGTTATATCAACGAAACAAATCTCACATAAGCAAAAAAATATCACATAGAGGTCACTAATAAACAGAATACTTGTTGATATGGTATCAACTGAACTAATAGAAATCTTGTTCATAGTTTATTATTAATCCACATTTTTCTTTAGATCTTCTTTCGAGCTATATTTCTCTTTTACTTTCATTTATCATGCCTAATTATCAATTATTATGCATTTTCAAAAATTTGCCCAAAGTAAATATTCATTTTGTAATTATTTATTTTCTATACCCATATATGTTTATTTTAGCCTGAGCTTATGATGGGCATAAAAGCAGCAGCAACATGCATTTTAGATCATAATGGTGTTATAAAATCGTTTGAAAATCTTGGTTTACGTCGTCTTCCGATTCGTCTTATTGGTAATGATGCACAAATTTATCGTGAAGGACAGTATGTATGATTTCATATTTTTCATTCATAAATTAATCTGTTGTTTTATTTAGCTATATTTTCATCAATTTTTTATCAGGTACCACAAAAATTTATGAAATGATGGCTGCACTTAGACGTGAAGGTGATATATTACGACGAATTATTTCAAATGATGATAAAGTTAATGAAAAACATGAATGCCATTGTGATAAATATGGATATTTTGTTACGGATATTGTCGATTATACAAAACCATTAACTGTATGGAACAAAAAAATAACTGATCCATTGTATAAAACACGTTTATAGAATGTTCGTTTTGCTTTGTTAACAGTAGAGAAATAAAAAAAAAGCCAATTTTTGCCCATTCTATATTAATATTTATTTTATTGCACAATCATGTGTCATTATATGAAGAAATATTTTTCTACTCTATAAAAGAGACAAAAATCAGATTCATTTTTTCATTTGTATAGCGATGACAACTATCTTAAATATCGAGAAACATGATATACAGTTACCGAATAGTAAAGATAATGGTAAACTAGCGTTTTTTTTATTAAATGTATTTACACCTGAAGAATGTAAACAATGGATTAATATGACAGAAGAACGTGGTTATAGTCCAGCTTTAATAAATCTTGGTGTACAACAAGTTTTAATGAGTAATATTAGAAACAATGATCGTTGTATGATTGACGATGTTGCTATGGCACAAACAATATTCGAACGAATTAAAACATATTTACCGAATGTATTCAAAAATCATCAATTAGTTGGACTCAATGAACGTCTTCGTTTTCTTCGTTATGATCTAGGACAGAAATTTGAAAAACATCTCGGTAAGAAAAACTTTAGTTTTATCGTTTTTTAAATGTTTTCCTTTATAGATGGTACGTATTATCGTGATGATGGATCATTAGAACGAAGTTATATTGTAAGTTTTTCAAGAACGGGAGCGCATAAAGACCTATTTTAATCCGTTCATTTTTTTTTCTCAGCAACAAACATAAAAGTTTTCAGGTTTCTGTAGCACTTGAGCTGAAGAATCTAATCGTGTATAAATGTTACCGCAAAGTCTTAAATTACGAGTACTGATGTCACTTACAAGCTTGATCATTATCATAAGATTACTTCGTGTCGTGGACAGGCAAGAATATTATACTTCAGAGAATAAAAATTAACATGTCACCAAAATTTTAGTGCTAGTAGAACATTTGACCAACTATAAGAACATGTATAATTTGTTCAGGAAAAAACATGGGTCATATGTTCGGTATGAAGACCCTTTTCTTTATTTAGGTAAAAGTTGCTACTTTTTCTGATTGATATTTGCCGACTTTCGTCAAATTCGTTACTTTTCTAATCAAAAAGAATACAATATTTAGAATCAGCATCAACAACTGAGTTGACCAATATGTATTTCAAATGACTCGAATAATTTCTATTATCATCGAAAAATTTAATCTCTCGTTCCCGTCAGGGTTCAATCAAAAAATGAAGTCAATTATAAAGTCTCTTTTAATGCGTAGTCATCTGCTTTTTTTGAGCTATATTATCATTTTACAAGATCAGGACTTATTGTCCACAATCCCGCTGAGATTTTGATTGGCTTCATTTTTTAGCTGAACTGTAAGAGGATTGGAAGGTAGATTTTTCGACGAAAATAAAAATTGTTTCAAGTATTTGGAACACATATAGGTTAACTCGATGGTTGATGTTGATTCTAAATACTATATTCTTTTTGACTAGAAAAATAACGAATCTGACAAAAATCAATTTTAAAAACGGTAATCTTTATCTCTCCGAACAAAATGGGTCTCAATTGTAAACATGTGACCCATATTTCTTTTTGAAGAAATTACACATGTTCTTGTAACTTGTCATTTACTTCAATAGTACTGAGATTTTGACGACATGTTCATTTTTATTTTGTGATATATAACGTTTTAGCCGGCTCATTCTCGGCTCAACGAAAGATCATTTATTTAATGTTTTAGTACCAAAATACAGCTCCAATCATGTTCTATTGATCACACTATGAGTGATCTCATTGACTTGTAACTTCATCTCAAAAGAAGTATCTGTCTTCTTAGCTCATAACATGAAGAAATCTTATGATGACGATCAAGTATGTAAGTGGCACAAGTACTCATAATTTAAGACTTCGTGACAACATTTATATAAGATTAGATTCGTCAGTTCAAGCTCGACAAAGCCTAGTAATTTTTCTGCTTATTGCTGAGAAAAAAAATAAGTGAGCTAAACTGAGATCTTATGCGTTCCCGTTCTTTCATTTTCAACTATTTTACGTTTAATGTTCTAGACAATACAACTTTACTTAAATGAAGGTTTTCAAGGTGGAGAAACAACTTTTGTTCATGTTTTGGATGCAACTAAAAATGTTTCATGCATACCACGTACAGGAATGGTACTTGTATTTCAACATGATTTACTTCATGAAGGTTCACCATTGATGAAAGGTCGGAAATACACAGTTCGCACTGATGTTATGTATAAACCTCTTATGTCGGAAACATATTGTAATTCAAATTCCTCAACCTAATAATATTGTTTACTATATTGATTTTTATATACAAAATATTTGAATACAATTAACTCAATTATTTTTTGTCAACGGAAGGAACAAAAAAAATGTATATATTTGAAGTAGAAGTTTTTTTTTAAATCAGTAACAGGAGTGAGTATATACTTCATTAAAATGCAGATCATCATGTCTTGGGTAAGAGCATGTGTTTAATGAGAAAAGTTCTATTATCAGCTATATTCGAATTAGTAATTGTTCATTTGTAAAGAGAAAGTGTTGTTCCAAAATACAGTTTCTTTTGTATAGATACCCCAAGTAAAACATCCAACGAGTTAGTTGATAAGTTATTGCTGTAATGAAGTTATTCTCCATTTTATGGTTCGATTTTCGCTTGACAAAATTTTTTATTTGTTAAGATATGCACTTCAAAGATAATATACTCGAAATCGAATATTTCGTATGGTTTTGCAATTAAGATACACAAAATAACAGTTTTTAAATCCTTTAAATTCTTCGTTCTAATTGCATAGCACCATGCTTGTAATAATTTTATTTTGAAAATTATACTTCATGCTTAGTTTTTATTTTTATATTTATATTCTTGAAATTTATAGGCGTAAAGAAAATAAGAATTATACTTAGTTCTAGTATTCTACTTTCTTGGAGAGAAAATGTCACCGATGAAAGAAATATTGTTTCTTTCTCAAACTTCTCTTCCACTTTTTAATAAAATGAACAGTGCACTTGTTCTTTCAGTGTTGTTCAATTCTAAAACTGCAATAATCTTGTGTCCTACTCTTTTTATAATCAAAATTCTTTCCATTGAAAAGTATCTATGTGAGTCTAGTAGAAAAGAGAAGAACATATTTCGAAAATTTAAACCTTCTAGAAAGAATATGATCCATATAATAAATAGACAGTTAATCGTATTAATTAACTACGTGCGCATACTTATGAAACCGGTAAAGTAACTTTTTCATTTTTTTTTTCTAAACTATTACTACGATCGAAATAAATCAAGAAGTCAACCTCATTCGTGGTACAGAAAACTCAAATATGTATTTAATGTTAATATCGATCCCTCTGAATTCCTATCGAAAGTTTTCAAAACAGAAAAACAAATTCGCTATCAAATATTAAAGATTAATGCTGATTAAAACACCAATCAAAGTAAAAAAAACCATTTACATTATAGTACATGCTTAAAGTAACTACCACTTCTCTGCATTAAATAAATCTTACACAGTTAGAAAGACTAGAACGAGATATTTCTAAGTATACTCAACTTCATTATTCTTTAACCTCTATTATTGCCAAGTGGATACGATCTTCTTGATTAATAAATGTATTCTACTATTCAAGTTTAGATATGTAATAAATTTTATTTATGACCAATTGTCAATTCGTTTAATTGACTTTGCTTGATTCTCATAGAATAGAAATCAAGGAAAGTACGGTTCTAGTGTGGATTATCACATATTCCTGCAAGCAGTAATTCAACAATTATTCATCAGATGTGATTACATGTTCGGATTTATTATGAATAATTGTCGATATGTCTGTGTTATAAGTTCATCAGCATGCATAAAAAAAATTAACAGTAATACAAACGAAACAAAATAATAGGAGATTTTGATTGAAAGAGAAATATATGATGTCACGGTGTCTTGCAAAAAGCTTGATAAAAGATTTTTTTCTCTAAAGTATTGGAAACTAGCGTCTTATGTTATTTTGCAAGTGTGTCAAGGAGAAAAAGAGTTGAAGAAGAATCAACTATTATGAAAGGGCAGAGCGTCCTAATAATTGAAAACAAACAAGAGAAACTTTGTAGTGTCGAATAGAAAGAAAACAAAATTTCGAAGTTTAGTATAAGATGATTACTATTCCCTCTCGAGATATCCGCGTATTTGTCAAAAAATGATGGATTCATTGATATAAAAATATTCAGAATCAAAGAGAAAATAAAATTTATATCAAAGTTAAATATGTTTATAATCAATGATTATAAAAGTAACCATTTAGCAAATTTTGAATAAGAATTTTGAATGCAATAATTTATTACACTACACAAAGTTCTTCACTCGGTCATATCATCATCAATAACTATCTATCCATTCACCTAATTTATTTAATTGATTCAGATCATTCAATTTTGTTTAATGTGTATGTACAACTGCTGATAAGCATTTTTCATCTGAACTGAAGTTGTTAAACACTTCATTTTAGTTCATTGAAATAAAGTCAGATCTTTAGTTATTTCAGCCTAAAAAAAAGTCTAATTATCAAACTCAATGCTTCAGCTGTTCAGTCCATGAGCGTTATACTTAATCAACAGTATACTTTAGATATTTATGGCTATTGATAGTGTTGCTCGAAAGAATAACGTATGGTATTAGTTATTTCTTGGTAATGAAACTTTCTGAACAATCAGTTGAGTCGTACTTCATGATAGTTTTCGAACGAAATTATACTTGTACTTAAATTCGATAAATTCTCTCTCTAAAAAGGACCAACAACCGATATAAATTTTGAATATTCTTATAGTCATTCGATAATTGAATAGTAACAAAATTTTATTATCAAAAACAATTAATTCGATTTATTATTTTCAAATTAACAAAGTCTACAGAGAATTCGGGTATGTTTAATAGATTATGTCTGCTGAATTAGAATGACATCTATTGCATGCCTATCAAGAGAGGTCAAGCTAGAATATTTACTTTTATCGATGAGTTATAAAATCTTCGCAGTTTATATTTTTCTTTACACTTTCAATATCTTTTCAGTTTTTGTTTTTATTTCAAATATACAGTAATTGTAATTATTATAAAGTTATTATTTTGACTCGTTTTCAATGAATCATGATCTGTTGTTCGAAAGATCATTATCGGCCGGCTGGTATTTTGATTCGTTCTTTTATTTTATTTTTCTATCGATGAATACTTGTTCACACAGCCATCGGTCGATCGCTCATCATATGACCTAGCACTGTTGTTTTATTTTTGTATACATGTCCTCCCTTTTATATAGCGCCCGCACTCTATCGTCATGTTTTAATCCGACAGCACATTTATTCCTTATTCGTTCGTTCGTTCGTTTGAGAGGAAGTTGATACATAGGTGAGCACAAGTAAAAATATTTCGCAACGTCAAAGTAAGCAGACAAGTAAATAGAAGAAAGTATAATGCATAAATTTTTTGCAAGTCATATGATCATTATGATTCATCATTTATTTTTTTAAGATTACATACTTTTGTCTATATTAAAACTGTTGTTAATATTTGTTGGATATTTAATATTAAGCAATGAAATTTCGATTTAAGGAAGAAACTCCAATTGGTAAATTATATATATATATATATATTTTTTTTTTTGTCAATTTAATTGATGTATTATATTTTTCTATTTTATAGAACAACGTAAACAGGAAGCAGAAAAAATTCGGGTTAAATATCCCGAACGTATTCCGGTATGTTGAATTTTTAAATTATTTTCTTTATAATTTTGTCTTTAGGTTGTCGTTGAACGTGTGCCAAAGTCGCAGATACCTGACATTGACAAACGTAAATTCTTGGTGCCAAATGATATAACAATTGCGCAATTTATGTGGATCATTCGTAAACGAATTCAATTGGCACCAGAAAAAGCAATCTTTCTTTTTGTCAATCAAAAAATTCCTCCATCAAGGTAATAAGGTTTTTTTTTTATATTATTATTTTTGAGATTAATTGTTTTTTTTTATTTTAGTTATACAATGAGTCAAATTTATGCTGAAAGTAAAGATGAAGATAGCTTTTTATACATTGCTTATGGAGGTGAAAATACATTTGGTTAAATTGCGTTAAATAAAAAAATTAAAACATTATATTCGTTAAATCAAGAAATTTCTCTTTGTACACTATTCTTTTTTTCTTTGTATTTGTGTGTAAGCTTGTTTAAAACATCATTTGAAAAGGAGAAAGTATCTTAACTATTTATGTAAAGTGTATTTATGATTGTAAAGAAAGACGTTTTGAGATCATTCAATAAACATAGCACTTTTTTTCTTTGCTCTAAAAAAGAAAAAAAAAACGATTTTGTTTATCACAGAGACTAACTGAAATATGTAATAATGAATGGCTTGTGCTGATAATTACGAACATTGGCAATAAGTTGGTGGGATGTTCAGTATCAAGAAAGAAAACATTATAGATGGTATTTTTTGAATATATGAAAATAATGGAACAGAAGAAACTAGAATGACATATTGTAAGTGATTTAGTTGATGTGAAGCAGAATGATGCATACAGTTAAAATTCAAAAAAAAGTTATTCGAAACATTGATGTTTGTTATTTTTTATGGTGGCTTTGTTCACTATTGATTTGTAATATGTTAACATGAATCATACTTTCTTTATCGATTAGTTTCAGTAAAAACATAGGATGTTGTATATATGCTTTGAAACGTCGACTTAATTCAACGATGATAGCCTTCTACGATAGTGTTTATTTTCATAGAATATTGATTAGTTTTATTGTGTGCATTGATAACAAATAATTGAATTGGGTTAAAACTATTGATGACATTCCTATTGATCGAATTTTCTATAGGGTTATATTGCTACAGATATAACTGGTCTAATTAAATAGACTCAATATTTTACGCTTCTTTTTTTTGTTGTTGATGTTGAGTTATCATTGTACTGAAGCTTTCAGTTTCCATTCGTATTTAATGTGCTCAACAAAATCTTTCTCGAACGAAAGGATAGCTTAATATTCGTTTTCTCAAAAGTACAATGGTATTATCATTAACAAAGACTTTAAAAAAATGAAAATGCTATACTTAACTTCAGGGTGCATATTCTAGGATGATCATTCCGATTGTCGGAAGTGGCGTATTAATGCATTAACTTTCATAGTATTTTGCCGTTTTCTATAAACCCGTAAAACGGTGAAGATAGTAGGAAAAATGATTACTGCGTGCTAGAGAAAAAATTGGATGATGGATTACGGTGAAAATTAATACAGTAATACGCCATTTTATACTCGTTTCGGCTCACTTAAGGCGGTACTTCTGACAGTTGTAATGATCGGCCTTTGTCGGTTTTTTTGGTAGCTCAACGGTCATTATTTCGTCTAATTTTTTCATCCTTCTACTAACTTACAGAAAACGGCAATGTAATGAGGCCGGTTTTCGCCCTTATATATCATTCACGGCTGCATTTTCTTCAACTCAAGGATATTTGTTGTACTTTATGTTTGTATTTATTTTGTAACAGATCATAATTAAAGCATTTGATTATTTGTTATTACTAATTAAAGCAACGGATCGAATGTGTACAAATGGTTTCATTTGTTGTTGAAGTATAAAATAGCATTGCTTTTCATAAAACCAAATAAGAATTTTCAAGAGAAGAATAAAATAATAGGAAATAAAGAAGCATTTTAATATAAAAAAGATAATAGGAAGATGAAGATTGATTTTGTATAGTTGGCATTGTTGTTGTTGTTTTGTCATTAATGAAGAATTAAAGAGTAAAACTAAAATTCTCTCAAATTGTTCGAATAAAAACAATCGAATATTGTTATTAGATGGTAATGATACTTCATTATAACATTTTCGAATTGTTAAAAATAGAATAGGTTCTTCAAAATATTTCCATAAAAATTCAACATAATGAATACTCAATACGAATATACATAAAATTATTTTAATCATAGTCATAAACAAATAGAATTTATGTTGCTATAGTGTTTTCTTCTTGTGAAGCACTTTTAAAATTAATGCCTTTTTAAACTTTCTTGAATCTATACCTACAATTTAATGGTGAAAAAGGATAGAGTACATTAAGATAAAAACTAAAAATACAACATGAACAATTTTTTGATTCTTACAATACGTGTTATCGAATTTTTAATAATTATCTTATTTTTAAAAAATTGTAAATAAATAATTAATTTCGTGGAATGTATCAAGAAAATATTTTATAAAAGAATAGATTATTTGCTTATAGTATGATATACTAGATTCATAGTTATATGATAATTGAATATTTGGTTGAAATGATGAATAATATTGACGATAAATTGTAGAAAATAATTCATGATGACAGTGATAAGTAGAAATATAAATAAAATAAAAACAAATTACAAAGGAAATAAGAAGAATTTGAAATAAAATATTTATATGTTGATATTTATTGTAAAATAACATCAGTGCTTTTAACAAAAGAAAAAAAATCTATGAAATTCAATCAATTAGAATTACCAAGAGCTCGAACTAACCAATATGGCATATATTGATGATTGAATTATGTTAACGCTGACTGTTTTTAGAATTCGCTATGCTATTCCGAATTTATTGATAATCTGAACTTCATCATTCATCGAACTTTTTGGATTGTGCGATCAAATTACTCTAAATATGACTTTTATCGGCTCGCGAAAATTGTTACGACAAATGTTATTGAAAGTACAAAAACTTTATACATTGATTTATATTGATTGAAGGTTCAGTTGATTATTAAATAACAATGAAACGAGCATTACTTTATCAAAACTATTTTTATCTTTTTTAAAGTCGGTAAAATTTCAATTTGTAGCGGGTAATTCTTTTGAAAGCGTAACAGAGTTTATATTGACTTCATTTGAAGTGTTTCAAGGTTTCAGAGATAGTAGAACCTAATATTTTGATAGGTTTTAACTCCAGATTCCAAAAGGTTTTCCTTTCAACATTTGATTTCTAGAATTTTTTGATTCTATATTATGACAGTTTGTTACTATCACAAAGGATAGTAATTAAATAGTAAGATAAACATTTTATTAAGCGAAAAAATTTTTCTGTCACGTTTGGTTGGATTGAAAAGGCGTCCAGAAAGCTCGATTCTCCAAAGGTTTCCTGAGCCTGAATTCCACCAAGAGAAATATAATTTTATTATCAATATTCTATACGTTAGAATCGTCTTTGAACGTTATATCCAACTATTCAATTTTTAAAGACATAAACGCTAAAGTCGGGTTGCTTAGTACGAGAATTTTGATTTTTACTCTAGCTTCTGAACCAGAGCTGGAACCGGTAAGAAATTTTGAAAACGGTCCGGTCCGGTCCGGCCGGAAAACGGCCGTTTATAAGTTGTTCTTGAACCGGTGAATTTCCGGCAAGCTGAAGAGGGACTGCCGTGCNGACTTGATAGCGAAAACGTTAACCAAAAGCAAGAATCAGAAATAGTTTTTCTTTCTCGTAAATCTCCTGCTTTAATTAAAATGAGATGTTTTGAGCCTTTTTGCACGTTCTCAAGCACAAATATAGACAACTTTTTAGCATTAATTTTCAAAAATATCGTTAAGCAACAAATTTTTCTTCGAAACTCATACCGGTGAAATTCCGGTTTCATCCGGCCCGGTTGGCTTTTTCAACCGGTTCGGTACCGGTCCGGTCCGGTCCGGCCGGACCGGTTCCAGCTCTGTTCTGAACTCTTTACTAAGAAGAGAAAGCACTCCGGTGAGGATAACAAGAAATATTCATGGTCTATTCACACACACCTATGAACAAATAGTATTTTGGCATTAGCCAGCACTTTATCATCGATGATTTTTTTTTCAGCGGACAATCAACTAGTTATTACTCAAAGTGTATAAACTCATTGGCCATGAAAGTAAATAATTATTTGTTATAGTCTATATCAGGGAGATCCTAAATATAGAGTTACCTTCGTACCAGAATTCTTAGTTTTCTCAGTAAGGAGTTTAGATAAAAACCAAAATCGGCTCTCAAAATCCTCATATTTAGCTATTGACTTTGTCTTGATGCCTTTGAAAATTCAATAACTGGATAGAACGTTTAAGCACGATTGTAACACATGCCCATCTGGGATCTGACGTTGTAGGCTATCAAGCCACCATTTTAAAAAATTTTTGATAATAACTTTCTACATCAGGACATTAAGTACTATTATTTATGGAGGTGAGAAACATTTCGGAGAAATTAGTGTAATTTTGTTATGTTTTCTAAAGCACCGAACTACAATTTATTTGATTTTTAGCAATCAATCAATCAATCAATATAAAAAAAAATAGATTCAATTATAAGAAATCAATAGACAAGCGACCTATGAATGCCCTACTGAGTGCATTTTCAAAAACTACAACGATTCAATTCGTTTAAGAAGTTCATCAGCATGATCTTGCTTTAAACCAATATATAATTCGACTGCATTTGTTTCAGTTGGTAAAATCAAAATCAAACCATCCCATCGACTAGGTGGTAACGCAACTCGTCGAGGTGTACCTTGACCAAAATCAAGTTGATATAGTGGAAAGCGCGACCAATTTGTAAAAGCTAAATCTTTTCCTAAAAATGCCTTGAAACCTGGATAAATAGGTTTTGAAGCTTGTTTAATCCAAGCTAATGCTGATGTCATATAATCTTTTGTCATTCGTTCTTTTTTTTCAACATTGATTTGCTCAGCTAATTCATTAACAGTTTTATTTAACAAATCAATCATTTTAAATTGAAGTGAAAAGTAAAAATTACAATTACCAAAGTAATCTAAACCAACTCCTAGTTCATTTCGACCATCATTTGCCATACCAACATTAATTGTTTCATTTGATGGTATTTGACGTATTTGACTTATTGCTTGAGTTAACCAAACAACAAGAACATCATTAAATGAAACATGTGTCGCTGTTATTTTTAATTTATCAAATAATTCTTTTTTACTGAATTTTTTAACAATTGCATCCATAATTGGTAGTTCTGAAAAAGAATAATTTGGTTTTTCGAGAGTAAATTCATTGTGTTCATAAAGAATATTTGTCGCTGGTTTTAATAAAGAGCGATCAAAAATAAATGGAGTTACTTTCGAATCGTCTTTATGACGTATCCAATTAGAAAACCGATCAATCAATGTAAAAAATCCACGTCCATCAGAAACCTGATGATGCATTCCAAATGCTAATAATGTTCCATCACAAACATTTATTTGATGAAGAAAAAATAAAGGTGAATCATCGGTTGGAATGGCTGAATAAGGAAATACATTAAGTTCTTGAAAACTACAATTAATATAATTAGATATAGGAGTATCATACAGTTCAGTTCGACTAAATATTTTATTAAAATTTGATGTTGATTCTACTAATTGACCATAATTTGGTTTATTATCATCATAAACAATTTTCCAAAATGCAGTTGGACAAAATTTTTTCAGAAACTCAATTAAGGGTTCTTCTAAATCATCAATTTTATAATCAAAAACGACTGATATACGTGTATAACATTTGGGCATTACTACATCATTCAATGAAAGATCTTCCGGCATTGCTTATCGAAAAACACAGACACACAAATGTCGAAATATGTATGTATTACGACAATATCAGTCTTCGTTCGTCATTCTTCATATAAAAGTATGACGAATAGAAATAAAACTGATATGACAACCAACTAGATGGCAACAGCCACCACTCAACAGAAAAGCTGAAAATGGCTCCCTTCAGATGTAAATTGTCGATATTTTCATGTTGATAAAATAGAAAACGTTATCTTACTATTCAAAAGAAGAATGCTTAAATTCGCTGTGAAGTATATTTACTTTATGATAAACATTATAGCTTGCAAGACTGACAGAAAACATGAAAAGTTTCATGGATATCACAACTCATAGTAATATTCTATGTGATAAAAGAGTGTAAAATATTGCAGATTAAAAGCTAATTACAACAGCATATTAACATGGGTAGTACATGCTCTGGTAATAAAGATAATGAACAGCAGATGATCTATCTCAGAAACCAAAGCAAAATCTCACCAGTAGAGCAATCAACTCAAAGTCAATCAAATAATTTTTCTACAACTAATACAAATACATATGATCCACAAGTAATTCTCGATGATGATTTTGAAGCTGAAATTATTACAGTTATTGCTGAATGTATGGCTTCCGTGCCTGTAGATTTCTATGTAAGCTCATTTAACTATATAAATCTTTGTTGATCTTAAAAGTTTTAACAGGCTAAACGTAATTCATTATTGATGAGATGTATCGTTCAACATCTGAGCCATGTCATATTCTTCATAACTCGGATTATCCAGATAAAAATAAAACGATGCTTAATGGGACGAATCATAAAAAAGCGACGTATAACGAAGTGAAACAACAAATCTGTGATCGAATCAATGAACGTATAACAGCATCGTTTGAATTGCAAACTGCTGATTGGGAACTGTCATCTCGAGAAACGGCTCGTTCATTTCTTAAAGTATTTATTGAAAAGCTTGTCGATGAAAAAATGAGTCATTCAATGTTTGAATAGCATTTGTAGTCAAAAATCCATTTCTTGTTATAAAACAAAAACACATTTTTAAAGAAATAATACATATATTAAGTAAATTAATCGCAATTTGTTTTTATCGTTTCCATTGATATACTAAAGTCAATTGAATAATCGGACGAATAGAATAATTCATAAGTTATTGTTATTCTAACATGTTCATTCCAACCAATAAAAGAAATATATGTAGAATTAACAACAAAATACTACAAGGCAAATTAAAGATATTTCATAAATTCTATTCGATTATTATATTACATAAGTGTTCATGTTTATCTTCAAATATAATTTTATCAACGAGGCAATCATGTTAAAATACAATACATGCAATATAAAGTAAACGAATTTCAATGTCCGTAAAATAAGAATAAATGTTAGGATCACGTAAACAATTAAGATTAGTTTTATCTATTCCATTCAATCATATACTATATTCACATAATACATGCAGTTTTTTGTATTATTATTTGACATTTCAACATGACGATTCGAAAGAAACAGATTTTAAATATTCAAAAGAAAAAAATATCATTTGGTTGACTATTCAACAAGACAAGTATTTTCATAAAAAAAGAATCTTATATGCACTAAAAATATGTATATCAGAAGTCCTTTGAGTATATCATTTCTAGACGAGTCGTCATTTATGTAAAAGAAGTGTACTTTATTCATAGTGAGTATTCTTTCAATATTTGTTTATGTATTTACTAATGACATTTGATTGCTTTCAATCTGAATGGCCTCGATAAAAAACACATGCAATTTTATACAGTACTATACGACATTTATAACATAGCTGACTCATTTTTTAGAGTCAATAACTATTAATTATGAAAGAGTTCTGCGTACTCATTCTAAGAAGTATTTCAGAATGATATTGAGGTACATGCAGTAGCCAACAAATTGATCCAATTGAGTGTAAATTTGAAATTTTCGTTTTTACAGTATTTGCTACAAAGAATCGACAAAGTGATTCGGATAGAGAAGATTGTTTTCAAAAAAATTAACGAAGAAATTAAACCTCTAGATATACTCCCAAAGTGCAGAATTTCTAGAAAATCAGAATTGCAGGCTTTCAGCATCCGAAGCCCAAAAATAAAAGTTTGTTTTCAAAAGAGAGAACGAAAGAGCAGGGCATTTTCAGAATAATAAGATCTTTTCGGCTTCCCATAAAATTATTTGGCTGAACTACAAGAGATTTTCAGAAGTTTCAAAAGACAGTTTTTTGGATTTTCCTCATTAGAAACAGCAGGCCTTCCATAAATTTCATGTAGGTCAGCCAACTAATGTCATGGAGAGCTTGAAAAGGTGCCATTTTGTTGAAAACATCCTACCCTATGGTTTTCTATTATCAAAACAAATTTTTATTATCGAACTCTGAGTGCTAGAAATCTATGTTTCGAGTTTTCTAGAAATTCTGGCTTTTGAGAATATACAGAATAATTTAATTTTCTCGTCATTTTATTAGAAAAAATGTTCTCTACTCAAGTCACTATTGAGGTTCTTTATAGTACCTACTACAAGGACAAACAAATGACTTTACACCTGGTTGGATCATTTTGACGGCCATTGCATAATGCATTTGTAAATACTCGATGACGAATCATATGAATAATTCAAATTATTATACAAAAGTTTGATAATCAAATCAGTCAAATAAATAAGAAAAAAACAACTTTCTGTATTTTCGTTGGTTTTTTTGAAGGCCAAATTAAACTAATATCAAGACAAAATTCTTAACGAATCAATGTCATATTCACATGACATTTAAATCAGTATTTCACACGAAATTTTCAATTTCGTATCATTTAATTTTTAAGGCATATTTGCCCACATGCATTCTTTTTTAACCTATAAAAATACACAGAACCATTAGATTATTCTCAAAAGAAATTTACAGAAAAAGAAATACAATGGACCAATTTGAGCTTTGTTCACTCATACAGAAAATAATTATAATAAAATACAACGGCAAAAACATCTATCATGTGAATCTTTATCTAATGCAACTTTAGCTGCATATTCAAATACTTCTCTTACACCTTCACGTGTCTTAGCTGAACATTCAAGATAATTTTTTGCACCAATTCTTTTTGCACATAAAAGTGCATCTTCAGTTGTAATTAGGTTTTGATTTTGACTTTTAATACGTTCATGTACAGATGGATCATCACGTAAATCACGTTTGTTTGCAATTAAAAGTATTGGAACATTATGGCAATAATGTTTTACTTCAGGTGCCCATTTTTCTGATACACATATAAGACTTTCTGGCGCATCAAAAGCAAAACAAATCAATATGACTTGAGTATTTGGATAACCAAGAACACGAAGCCTAAAGTAAAATGATATAAAATGAAACAAAATAAAAAAAGGAATAAAAGTAGTACTTTGCGTATTCTTCTTGTCCAGCAGTATCAATTAATAATAATTCAATACGTTTGTTATCAACATCAATAACATGTGTACTTCCTTCAAATAATGTTGGTACATAATCTTGACAAAATCGATTATCTTTAAATGCATAAAGTAATGATGTTTTACCAACATTGCCATTACCAACAACAACTAATTTTTTACGAACTAAATCTATATCGGAGGTCATATTTTGTTTGAATTCATTGAATTCGTTGTCTTGATATTAACCTTTAAAAAAAAATAAAAGAATAGAAAAAAACAAGAACATTTGTCTATTTGCAAATAAAAGATTTTTTTATATTGAAGAAATGGTTGGAATAGTATATAACTCATTTCGATAATCAGTAGCAAGAAAAAAAAAATCGATAAAAATATTGACATAAATATGCCGTGTCAGAGGTAAACGAAAGGACAAGTACGATGTAGCACAAAAGAAAAAAAGAAAAAAAAAAGAACGCGAACGTAGCAACACGATTCATGTTTTTTATTTTTATATCGATTATTGTCATTCGATAGTCTCATTTACAACTGGCCGTTGTTCTCATCGAATTGTAATATTATAAATACATACCATGAGAAAATATTTGAATCTGTCTTAATTAATGTAGAAACCGTATTTAGATAAATTGTCTTCAACTTTCTTTGTCAATATTATAATAGTTTGATGTTTGATCTTAATAAATCCAATTGAATAAGAAGAGAGAGTATTGGATCTCCGTTCAATCAATTTATTCTTCTTTCTGTCTTTTTCTCATTACTTTTTTTTTTACTCTATTATGCTCTTGATAAATAAAAAAAAAAGAAAAGAGATTGATATGGATCATCAACAGACCGGGAGATGTGAGTAATGCCAGAAATGGAAAAATGACAGTATAAAGCTATTCGCATGAGTGTCTTGTTATTGTTATTGTTACTGTTGGTGGTGTTTGATTGCACAGGATAAAAGAAGAAAAAAAGAGAAAAAATTGTAAATAAGATGAATCATTTTCAACACTATTTTAGTCTTTTTTTTGTTTTACTATTGGTAGAAAAATTCCAATCCATATTATTTTATATGTTATTTCTTACAAGGCATCATTTACAGGAGGTTAGAATATTTTTTCCTGTCTTTTATCACTGTCTTCATATGAAAGTGATTCTTGCTGATAATCATTGCAGTTTCTCTTCATTATAAGCCGATTGGTAATACTTCATTTTATAACATTCATGTTTTTTCTTCTATTTGTTATAAAAAAAATATGATGACTGATGACGACAAGAGGATAATAATAACAATAATGAATGGATGAGAAGCAAGAAAGAGTGTAATATTCGAGGCCAATATTTGGTCCTAGACAACATTTGTCTTCAAAAAACTTATAAAACACATTCTTTAAAAACTTCGTATTTTTTTACTCAAAACCCTTGTACAAATAGATTCTGATTTTGACCAACTTCCTCTGCCCCTGAGCGTCGAGATTGAATAACTTTGTTTTTAGTGTCTTTGTTTAAGCACATTACTTTATCTATTAATTGGTAATAACTTGGTGGCTAAGTCCATTTAAAGAAGAAATAAAATATGTATATAGGTTAAACTTATCTTTATCAATACTGTTTAAATCTAAACGTTCCAATTGGTTCCTTTCGTACGTTGTTAGAATCTCTTTTACTAAATATCGGCGCTTTATAACAATCAAAAATGAATAAAATTAAAATCGTCTAATTGTTTGAAATCTTATCAAATCCGATAGTTTTTCTGATTGAATTTGACTTTCGAATTCTTCATTCTAAGTATATTTTGCAACCAAACAAAATAGACTCTTCATAAATTCCCAAAAAAAAACAAAATCCATTTCAAATTTTATGGCTTTCTTTTTAAATACACAGTATTTCAATAAATAGATTCTAAAAAGTGAAACAGAAGAAACTTATTAGTCAATATCAATTACTTAAGAATATGCAACAACATTCATATTAATATGTACAAATAAGGTAAAAAAAGAAACACCTATGTCATAAAGAGGATCATCAATGATTGATGACAAAAGAGCATAGTACTTGAAAACTGTTACATGTTACAGAAATACGATCAATCAAAAGATGATTACTTCTCTAAGTTACAACACTTCAAAGAATAATACACTTGAGAATGCTATTACTTTACAATCTATTCTTTTCTTTACTACCATTGGAATAACTAATATATTTTTCATAATATGCCATATGTTTGTACATGATACTCTATAGACTTAGAATAGTCTGATCTTTTAGAAATGCTTTTTAATACAAACATAACTTGAAAATATCGCGAAAGAATACTTCAATTACAACAAAAATATCATCATAAGTATTTAAATGTTCATTTATATCTGGATCTTTCCCCTTTTACTGGGACGTCTTGATAGTTAACTACTTTCGTTTGTTTTTGTTTTCATTATTGTTCTTTTGACTTTTTTTGCATTTGCCGCTCCGCACTTATCTCAAAAGTCAAACTAAATATGCTTTTTAAGAATAAATACTTAACTGTTATTTACCGTGTTCAAGTTTTTTTCTCATTATAAAGAACTCAATAAACAGAGAAAAATGCTTAACAAAAATAGAATATTGTGTATTTTATCGATTGTTATAATTTTGAAACATATATCCAATTTATAATGAGTATTCTTTCATTCTGATTCATTTGTCTATATTCTGCTAGGTAAACAATGGGAGAGTTTTTCTTTCTCCATTTTTACTTGTACTGATGAACCTTCTCTGATTTTAATAATTGATATCAGATTAACAATAATATCATCGCTCGTATTGAATCTTTAGAAGATATCAATATGTTTACCTCATCTACATTTATGTTATCATTCTATATTCAGAATTAATCATATTATTTAGTACAAGTCAAAGATATTAACACACAAGAACCAATACAGAGAAAAACAAACGTACAATTTCTTGAAAAAGTATAAGATATAAATTTATCTTTTATTGATTCTAAACGTCACATGGTATTATAAATAATATTAGTTTGAAAATAATAGATTCTATTTTCATGACTAAGAAATGTCTTTTTTCATATGTTTCTTAAATAAATGACATAAATGTATATGAGAGGAAAAACTATATATATGGATACTAAATTGAACAGAATACATAAAACAAAGAAATAGAAAACAAATATCAGGTTCTATGCAGAAATATATATATGCGTTTCGATAAAGGTAAATCAAAACCTTCGTCAATTATACATGTTTCTAAAGAAAAAATAAACTATTGCATTGTTTTTCATTTTAAGGTCGATCTAATTGCACCATAAGTAACCGAAAACTAATTGATGATGATGATAAAATTCGATTACATTCTTGAGAACTTATAGGTAATTTTAGATATTCAGTTTCAGTATTGTTTTGATTAAATTCAAAATGATAAATAATTGGTTGAATTTGTGATGTTGATGGATCACCATGTGGTCCTTTAAGAATGAAAAATTTTAAATCGATTGTTTGAGTAACTTTTGATTTAAGAATTAATTGATAACTTAATGATCGTGTAACTGTTGTATGTGGATGAGGAATATTATCATTAATACGAGCGCGTACTTGCCATTGATACTGTAAGGCTGTAAAACGTGATGTTTCAAAATAAAGTTTGGCAACAAAATCATCTGTTCGTAATGGCTTCAATATAAGATCTATAAAATAAATGAAATTGATTAAATTGAAGAGATTACTTTTTTTTCTAATGAAATTCTGTTGAAATTTCATTCTTCCATTTCAATATAAAATTCAACAAGAATTCTCTTTCATAATAATAACTTACCACTGACACCAATTTGATTAAGTGAAAGTAGATCAACTACTGTTTCAAGACATTTTTTTTCTTCATCATATGTTTTTTTTTGTGCTCGAATCGTATCGATTAATTCTAAACCAATTTTAGTTGGATATTGACATATAGCTAAATGTGATGGTAAATTATGATATGATCCATTCCAATTACATCCAAGTAATGAATAATCACAAATTGTTGGTCTAAATGATATACTTGTATATTGAACAATTGAAATAGAAAAAGCCATTACCGATCAGGACAATGTTCTGATTGATGTATTTTTATTTCTGAACGTAAAAATATGTTCGAACAATAATCACATTGAATTGGTAATTCTGATATTGTTTTTTCAACTGCTAAATTTCTTGTACAATTTGATTTTGAAATTTCACAACGACAATTTGGACTAAGAAAAAAGAAAAACAGAAGAAGAAGAGTTCATTGATTTGATGAAATTAATTTTTTTTTCTCACATACCATGTTGTTTGTTCATCTTTCAATTTACAATCAGCTAATAAATGATTAAAACATGAAGCACACATAAGATGTCCATTGACACACTAAGATAAAGTTAATGTTTAGTCTTTTTCTATAAGAACTTGAGATAATTCTTACTTGAAACATTGCTAATGTCGAAAGATCCAAACAAATACAACATGATAAAATAGATCCAATTCGATCTTCAAGTAAACGAGGTTTATCATTTAATGAAATTTTACATTTTTTTGCTGGAGGTTCTTCAACATCACCTGAATCAGATGTTGGATTATCTGTTGCTATTAATAATAGTGTTTCATTAATATGAGAAACTGTATCAGATGATGGATTTTGTTGCAAATCATTTGGAATTGTTACGTCAGTCATTTAGAGAAATAATAATTATTAAAGGATCAAAACAGAACGAAAAAGAAATTCCATGTGATGATGTTCAACCAGCTGACGTCATTATAAAGAGTTTCATTGGTTTATTTTAACCAGTTGTTAAATAATATGATTTTTTTTTTTGTATGAACTTATTTTATAAACAAAAAAGCAATGAAATAAAATTTTAGAATTTTTTGATTAAATATATTTTGTTTTTATTTTTATCAAGATAAAACAATAAGCGCTATTGGTCAATTTGAATGACCGATAAGAATAACATAATGAACTTAGTCAATCAATTGTCTTACAGTATTTTTAATCGCAGGTATATCAAGTAGAAGCAGAATGTACGAAACTTTTGATATACATGCTATTTTACATTTAGTACATAACAGGAGAATGTACTCAGTAGACTTTACTTCCTAGGTGATGACTTCTCTTTTTGATGGAAAAATAGTAAATGTAACTTACTCGATTTTGTCTTTTGTATTTCAATCTCTTTCTTTGATTAAATTTGAGAAAAAAAGACGTTTTATTTTTCGATTATAATCTTTTGTTTTATCATCGATAGGTATTTTTTCTCCTTTTCTTTTAAAATTCCTTTTTTAATAAAACTTAGACAATGTTTATTTTGATACACTGTACTTGGGTAAAGAAGATGTAAATGTATACTTTACTAGTGCAAACAAAGTATAAAAGAAGACCATTTTGTTTTCAAATTTCCATTTGAAATGCTGGTGTATTGATTGAAAAATTTCACGAGATTCAGAAAAACCTTTATTCAAACATGGGTTATACTTAATTATGAATAAGTTAATTCTAATTAGTATCTTAGATTGAGTATACTTACAACATTATGATTAACATTTACAGTTCGACTGTATTCAGATGATATTACTACCAATTTACTACTAAATAATAAATATGTTCCTGAAAATTCCAATGCTTGGTAAAGAAGACTAATGTTACGTAAATGGACGATCATTTTCACACCTATACATAAAGTCTTGGATTACTCGAAACTATATTTCGCTGTATCTTGTAGTATATGTCATGAGTTTTTCTAATTCATGTATACATATTCTTGGACTTACACCATTACTCGAAACAGATATTCTCTCTTATACATTTGTTTAGTGAGAGTGTTTTTAATATAATAATTAGTAAATACAATAATTTATGTAATCATTGATCACACTGATAATGATCATAAATTAAATTCTATATTTTACTTCGTCATCCTACCAACATAAAAATAGTTAAAAAAAATAATAAATCTAAAAGAATATTTTAAATTGCTTATAAAAATTTGACTTTCATTTATATTTTCATTTCTTTTATTTTTCTTGATGTTTATTTTTCGTCGTTTTTTTTCAAGAATACAAATGGATAAAAAACTTTTAACAATTGTTGTTGCTTTGGATGACTGTAATGGTATTGGACGTAATAATACAATTCCATGGCATATTAAAAATGATTTAAAATTTTTTCGTCATGTAACATCAAAAATAAATGATTCAAATAAACAAAATGCTCTTATTATGGGACGAAAGACATATGAAACGTTTCTAAAACCATTACCGAATCGTTTAAATATTGTTGTTACTAGTAATCGAGCATTACCAAATACAAATTATCCAAATGTTACATGTGTTGAAACATTAAATGATGCATTAAAATGTGCAAATGAAAATTTAAATATTGAAAATATTTTCATTATTGGTGGGGTACTTATTTATGAAGCAGCAATGAAAACAAATCTTGTTAAACGCCTATATGTAACACGTGTTAAAGGCGATTTTCAATGTACAGCTGTTTGGTCATCATTTGATGTATCAAATTTTAAACGTATTGAATCAATTCCTGATGAATATCAACAATTTTTTGAAGATTCGCATGAAAATCACGATGAGAATGACAAAACACCATCGTATCATTTAGAAATTTATGAACGAGATATTTGACTTTTTTTATTGTTAAGTTTCATGGTATTACTTATTTTATATTGATATTCTAGATGGAATCTAATGAAGTAACAACAACATCATCAGTTAGTAATGCTAAAGTAACATTTAAAATAACATTAACTTCAGATCCCAAATTACCATTTAAAGTGTAAATTTTGATTTCTATTTTATTTTATTTTATGGAGTAAATTTCTTTTTTTAAGATTAAGTGTACCGGAAAATACACCATTTACAGCCGTGCTAAAATTTGCAGCTGAAGAGGTGAATATGGATTTTGTTTTATATGATTCTAAAATTTCTTGTTTTTATTAGTTTAAAGTACAAGCAGCTACAAGTGCAATTATTACTAATGATGGAATTGGTATTAATCCATCGCAAACAGCCGGTAAAAAATAAAGAAGTTTTTTTTTTCTCTATGAATTGATACTTAATATAGTACATTCCTTTAAGGTAATGTCTTTCTTAAACATGGTGCCGAACTTCGAATTATACCCCGTGATCGTGTTGGTCATTAGAATAAGAATCTAGTTTTATTCATTATTTTTTGTTGTTGTTAAATATAATAAATAAATATGAATTAAAATTTGAATAATTTTCTTTGAAAATAAATTCTTTTCGGTTTTCTTGAATAGATGTCATCGCCTTCTTGTCCATTAACAATACCAAAATCCGAATCAGATGCTTGTCAACTTGAACAAGAACATGTTCATAAGGTTTATAATGAGATAGCTCATAATTTTAGTGATACTCGTCATAAACCATGGCCACGTGTTGTTGATTTTTTACGTTCGTTTCCTAATGGTTCATTAATTCTTGATGTTGGTTGTGGAAATGGAAAATATATGAATATAAGAAATGACATAATGATGGTAAAGAATTTTTTTTTTTTTGTCATATATAATTTTGTTTATTACAATAGTAGATTGGTTGTGATCGAAGTGAAGGCCTTTTACAAATATGTCGGGATCGTTATTTTGAAGTTTTTCTTTCTGATTGTATGAATATACCTGTACCAACAAATATGTTTGATGGTGCTATTTGTATTGCTGTTCTTCATCATATTAGTACTGAAGTAAAGAAGAAAAAATTATATTTTCTTTTTAAAATCTTATTTTCTTTTCTTTTGAAGGTGCGACGATTATCGGCTTTGAAAGAAATAGTTCGTGTATTAAAACCAGGTGGACAAGCACTTGTTACTGTATGGGCTAAAGACCAAGAAATAGATAATAAAAAAAGTACATATATAACTAAAAATGCTAAAACTTGTTCAATACATACAAAAAATGAAACAAAAAATGAATTAATTATTCATACACCACGAACCACATTTCAACAATCTGATTGTCTTGTACCATGGACTAAGCCAACAGAAAAAGTTTTAAGATATTATCATGTTTTTATAAAGAATGAACTTGAGCATATATTAAGTCATATATCTCAAGTTAAAATAATTAATTCATATAATGATGATGGAAATTGGTGTATCATATTTATGAAAGTTGCTTAAAAAAATTCTTTTTTTTTTCTTTTTTCAGATTAATTATGTCGGATCTTACAATACCTTTTCTATTTCAAAAGTCTATTGCATTGAGTTCATATCGTGATCGACAATTTCGAGTAAAATAATTTCATTTTTTTGTGTTCATTAAATTGAATTTGTTCTTTTTTTCTATTATTTCAAAAAAATAAAAGGGAAGTGAAGGAGAACAAGATAAAAAATTATTAACAAGTACAACACTCTATGTAGGTAATTTATCATTTTTTACAACAGAAGAACAAATACATGAATTATTTTCACGTGCTGGTGATGTTAAACGAATTATAATGGGTTTAGATAAAACAACGAAAACACCATGTAAAGTTTATATTCAATTTTGTTTTGTTTTAATTTTATAAAAATTTTCATTTAGGTGGATTTTGTTTTGTTGAATATTATACGAGACAAGATGCTGAACAATGTATGAGATATATAAATCAAACACGTCTTGATGATAGAATTATTCGAACGGATTGGGATGCTGGCTTTATTGATGGACGTCAATATGGTCGAGGAAGAAGTGGTGGACAAGTTTGTATTTTATTATTGTTGATTTTTCAAATTTTTTTTTTTGATTCTCAATTTTTTTTAGGTACGTGATGAATATCGTAAAGACTATGATCCAGGTCGTGGTGGATTTGGTAAACGATTTAATCCATCGATGGAGATGGAAAAAGGTGGTCTTGTTTAAACTGATGTATTTAGATTTATTGCTTCAACAAAAAAAATAATGTTGTCTTTTTTGTTTTTGTTTATTGTGGAATAAAAACTTATTTGATCATGATTTAAATGAATAAAATGTAAAAAGCTATATGTATGACATTAATAAATATATAATCACTTAAAATTCATGAGAAAACAATTTGATTTTTTCTTCAATTGTAAATTGTAGAAGTTTTCTTGATATACTTGAATGAATTAGATATGATTAGACTTCTTCCAGACAGACTTTTTTCGAATCCCAAGTCCCGTTGACGCAAAGAGCACTCGAGATATCATTCTATTGAAGCCGTTCGTAGATGTACACCGAATCCGAACGTTCAAGTGCCGACTTCAATACAGTCATTTTCAGTTAATTGATAAAAACAGGAAACAAAAGTAAAGCAAATGAAACGCTTTCGCAGTTGGCTATCATAGGTCTACAGATAACGAAGGAAATGAGCCAAAAACTCAAAAGCCGCCAAAATTCTAAAAAAAGAATTGATGATGTTCGGAGATGTCCGAACCTGAATTCTACAAAAACTAAGGTTGCTTATAAAGCTACCTATATGCTTCAAGATTTGCTTGAACAACTATCTTAATACTTGATGTGGTCTGAACTCGAACCGTTCGGTCTAAACTTCAAATTAGAGTTAGAATTTGTTGAATATCTAGTCTTGTAGGACAATCTGGAATGTTTTGCAGAACGGGACTACCAGAACTTATCAACAGCATATCCTACATTTTAATTGTATCAAAGAGAATCACAGTTTTCATGGGTCAACCTTCACACTCAGCTAGGTATCTATCCTCAGATTAATCCTTTCCGTTTAATAGTAAAATGTATAGCGGAATTTATAAAAAAAATGCTGAAAAAAAATCTTAGAAGCCACTAGATTGGCGACTGTTTCAATTTCCTCGAGATCTAATTTATTGATCGTCTATCTCGAGCAAGAACAAAATAGCTGTTTCTGCTCAAAGGATTCTTTATTTTTAGAATTATTAATAACATGTATGAATAGAGAGTAAATATTTTTCGCACCATCATTTATATCTACAATGACATTTTCTACTTTCATTGAACCATCACAAAACAAATCCATGTACTTTTATTTTATCTAAATAAATAAATTCATATATTATAAATTCAAAAGTGTCGTAGAAAAAAGAAAGAAGATTGAGTTCTAGGCGATAGAAAATTCTATCTTGACAAATAAATTTTATAAAATTATAAGAGAAAAATAATCGCAATAAATACTCTGAAGTGGAAAGATTAGAGAATTTGCTAGAAGAACAATAATCTACTTTTTCATTCATGATTAAATCGATCACTGTTCTTGCATAATAGAATTATTTACTAAATATTAAATCTTTCTGAAAACATCTTTATTGTCCCATTAAGTTCTATTTTTAGAAAAATTCTTATCTACAATTTTACTTTTTTCGTTTTATTTCCTATAATAAAATGAAACAATAAATGACGATAACATCGAATAACTCTATTCGCAATAAACAACAGAAATCATATATTAGTTATTTTTACATTCTTACGAAATATTTATGTCTCGTAAAAGATCTTTGGGATAATAATAAACTTGAATTACATGCATTAAATCTTTTTATTGATTTGTTAAAAATTCCAACCTGCCAATTATTTATTTATTCAATGATTCTCACAAATATGATCTTGAATCTAATATTCTATAACTAATAATATCAGTGCAATTTTTAACATAGTAAATTTAATCTACAAAAAAAAAACATTCTAATTAAAACATCGACGTTGTCAAACTAACCTTTCATAAAAGGTCCTTCTATATAAGTGAATCATATAAAAATGTCCTACAGTTTTTTACTTATTTAACTATCCCGTCTAATGAATGTATTTAAATAATTGTAGTGACACATTATTTAAGTATTTCATGTTAGACACTAATTATCTACTTGCATAAAAAAGATGTTTTTCTATGAATAAGATACTTTCCAATATAATATGTGTATCATTATTAATGAAAAAGTTTAATTATGTAAGCTTAATTGACCTAACTTAAATTTTTACCTAATAAATAATAGCCCCCCTGCAGTAGAAGACTTTCTTTCGAGTAACCATGTGCCGGAAATAATCGAAGACTTCCCTTTCTTAATTAATTTCTCGCAAAATGAGAACTTTCATTAGTATATTTATTTCAAAATATGCCTTCGCTGAATGAATTTTTGACCCGACGATTCTAAAAAGCCGAAGATCGACATTATTTTTGGGCTTCTAAAACTCTAAAAATCTCTTCCGAAATCGTCAAAGTTGTTTTGCGTTTTTGAAAAATTCTTGTTTTTTCTTAAAAATTATGTAAATCAACAAGACACAATAGGAGACCTCCTTGGAAAATCTGCATGCTTAGACATAATAGAAAATCTTAGGTCTTCTATTGTAAAGAACTTATGTTTGAGTTTACAATTAACGTTGTAGACACGATTACATAGCGAAAAAATTCTTTAAAATGCCTACGGATGCAGAATTTAAGGAGCTTATTCTAAAGGCTCGTCCATATAGAACGTTCAATATAAAAAAGACTTTCTATAGAGAGCCCATTTGTGTAAATATAGCACTTTCTTCTTAAATAGCAGTTCATCAAATCAATTTGTCAAAGACAAGAAATGAATAGACACACATTTTCTAAACAACAAAACTAATCTATTGCAAAGTTTTTGTGTCTTTAAATACATTCTATTTTAACGATCAGAGAATAGTGAAAGCAAAAAAATGTAGTTCAATACAAATAGTACTCGCAAATCTAGCAACGTTCATATTACTGCTCGAAAAAATAACTATCTACTAATGTAGCATGATAAACAACTATTTCAAGACCATATTCATATTCAGCTGATTCATTCAGTTAATTTCCTACGCAAACTTGCACTTCTAAACAAACTAGCCAGGTAACCTCTTCAGTTGAACCCTTCCAATTTCAATGATCCTTTTGCTTATAGATACTATAAAAGCCCTAACAGGATTTAGATTCCTATT